GTCGAGGCAGACAACATCCACTGCTTTCCCCACATCTACCCAGCAATAATCCCATCATAGAAGGCTATCAAATTGGTCAGGCATGATTTCACCTTGGTGATTCTATGCTGAGTACTCCTGATAACCTTCTTTTCCTCCACATGCTTAGAGAGGACAGTCAGAATGAGCTGTTCCATCACCTTTCCAGGGATGGAGGTCAGGCTGACTGGCCTGTAGTTTCCCAGATCCTCCTTCTTGCCTTTTTTGAAGACTGAAGTGACATTGGCTTTCCTCCAGTCCTCAGGCACCTCTCCTGTCCTCCATAACCTGTCAAAGATGATGGAGAGAGGCTTAGCAATAACATCTGCCAGCTCCCTCAGTACTTGCAGGTGCGTCCCGTTGGGGCCCATGGATATGTGAGTGTCCAGTCTGGCTAGGAGATCCCTAACCCAATCCTCCTCGATCAAATAAAGTCTTCCCCTCTCCAAATTTCCTCTCTTGCCTCCAGGGTCTGGGATTCTTGAGGGCTGGCCTTAGTAGTAAAGACTGAGGGAAAGGTGGCATTCAGTAACTCCACCTTCTCTGTATCCTCTGTCACTAGGGTACCCACCTCTGTCACTAGGGTACCCACTTCATTCAGCAGTGGGTTCATATTTTTCCTATTCTTTTGCTACTGAATAAGACCGTCTTGTTAACCTTGGTGTCCTTTGCCAGATTTAATTCCAAGTGTGCCGTAGCCTTCCTTGTTGCATCCCTGCATACTCTGACAACATTCCTATATTCCTCTCAAATGGCCAGTCCCTTTTTCCACATTCTGTAAACTCCATTCTTCCAGTTGAGCTATTCCAAAAGCTCCTTGCTCATTCATGCTGGCCTCCTGCATCCTTTGCTGATTTCTTTTTCACAGGAATGCACCAGTTTTGGGCTTGGAGGAGGTGGTGCTTGAATAGCAACCAGCTCTCTTGGGCCACCCCTGCCTTCTAGAACCCGAGCCCGTGGGTTCCCTCCAAGTAGGTCTCTGAAGTTGCTAAAGTTAGCTCTCCTGAAGTCCAGGGTTGCAATCCTACTGATTGCCCTGCTTTTTCCACTCAGGGTCCTGAACTCTGCCATCTCGTGGTCACTACAGCCAAGGCTGCCCTCTGGTCTCCGACCAGACCTTCTTTGCAGCACACCTCTCCTTGTTCGTTCCTCCACCATCTGAGTCAAAAAGTTGTCAGCAATGCTCTGCAGGAACCTCTTGGACTGTGGGTGCTTGGCTGTGCTACTTTTGCAGCAAATATCAGGGTAGTTGAAGTCCCCCATGAGGACCAAGGCCTGTGATTGTGAGGCTGCTTCCAGCTGTCTGTAGAAGGCTTCATCTACCGCCTCATCCTGATCAGATAGCCTGTAGTAAATGCCCACAACAGTGTCACCCCTATTAGCCTGGCCCCTAAGTCTTACCCATAAGCTCTCAACTCATTCTTCATCATCACCCCCTAGGCAGAGCTCAATATACTCCAGGTCCTCTCTCACATAAAGAGCAAAATCTATATAAAAATGCATTTGCCAGTTGTAAGTTCTGCATAAAAGTATCTGTGCTGTGTTCAGATTTTTCTTCCGTAAGAACTGGTTATTTTATGAAGGAAATGGGACAATATTAGTATATGTAGCTTAATCATAAATTCAATTATATGTGTATTGTTATGTACTTTTTAGCAGGGTTCTGGGGCTCTCCAGCTTCCCTTTCTTCTTGCCCAGTTAAAATATTACTTCATGCTGTGAGAATTTCCCCTCCACTTTTTCTATTGCCTTTTCTTCTCAGTTTAGTGCAGAGTATTGAGGAATTTTTCAAAGGAGAGTGAAGGCAGGCAAGAAGCACAAACCGCCTCTTTCCTTATTTTGTTCCTCACAGAGAAGACAGCTGCTTGAGTGAGACTGAAACTGCCTGTTACAGTTTTTCAGTGCTCCTTTCTGCAAAGTCACCTTTTCTTATCTTCCTTTACATATGCTGGTTTAGGTCAGCTAAAGGAGTCCTGGGTGGGATTATATATGATCATTCATATAATTATCACGTTTATGCTGAAGATTTCCAAGTAACCCATTTATTGATAAATGTATTGCTCATTAATACTTACAGATACTCACTCTCTTTAACAGAGTGTGGTTAGGACTACGTCCGTAACTATTTCCCAACACATCTTTTATCCCTACCTTCACTGTCACTGTGAACAATACACCCAGCTTCCTTGCACTGCTTCCTATCTCGGGAGTAATTTGTGACTGTAGAAGCTCCTTTTAGTTTTGTTTTTTTGACCTTGACTTCTTGGTCCCTTTGGAAATAATGTTGCAATGCTGTAGCAGCATTGTACCAAAGCACAAAGTGAAACCTTGCGGGAGGAAAAGGTTATTTTATTTTTAAACAAAGCTAATTTCAGATGCACTTTCAAACCCACATTCTCATGTGTGCCAAGTGGTCTGTCCAGCACCCCAGCACTAAAATGTGTATTCAGGTGGTCTGACCAGTGTTCCTTGTGGTGAGGCAGGATAAAGGGTTCCCTTTAGTCATGTGGCTCTGTGCTGGTTTCAGATGTGCCTTTTTGCACGCTCTGGGAGCCGAGAGCGACTAGTTTCTTCATCCTGTCCCACCTTGGCGAGTCGTCAGGACTGACTCACTGTTGTTTGGCTCCTGATCTACGTGTGGTGAGAGTCATCAGGCAGCTGCATCCTGGGGTCTTAACATCTGCTGAGCTAGGTGCCATGGACGTCTGCCATGGTTACAGCCCTTCTCCGTCTGGGTATTCTGGTGCTTCCACACCCAGGCATTCCCATTCATTCGCTGTTTGTGGCAGTTCTAACATTCCTATTACAAGTCTTAGCACTGTCTGGTAAGGAGTTCTCTTGGCTTTGTGCCTCGTCAGTTTGAACTGCCTCTTCATTTCCTTTCTCTTGTTCCCCCCTCACTGCTGTTACAAATAAAAGCACCTATTTTCCTCTAAGAATTTCATAACTGAACCCCACTATATTCAGTTTACCTCTGCCAGCTGTAGAAGTCATCTGGAGGTGCATACTGTTGGACGTCTGAATTGCCAGTTAACCTTGAAGAAGAGCTTCAGTTTTGCACTGGTTGTTAAAATTGTTACTTGTTTGGATAGCAAAGGTCTGAATAGTTAAACCACATTGTACAAAATAAGAACTAACAAAATATTTTACAGTAGCATGCTTTCAGAAGGATTTTTTATTGTCATTACATTGGATTTCTCCCACCCCTAGTCCTTTTATCTGTAATCCAACACACTTCAATAATTATTGCCCTAATCGGGTGTACCTGAATGTGAGTGACATCCTCTAAATGAAATGAAAAATAATTGTGCTAAACAAAGTGTGACAGTATCAAACTGTGTGTGTTACGTTTTTTCCAGAGTTTGTGGTGAAGGTCTTCCCATTTCCAGCAGAATACTATTCTTATTTCTAGCTTGGTAGGTTACAGGACCTAGCATTTATATAGTTTTCTGTAGAGAACAGCTTATTACTGACCCATAAAATTTGCATAAACCAATAGTGTGTATTTGTATGATAAGAAGACAAAATGTTTTTTGGGTTAAGAATGAGGTTTGGAGGGTTTAATTTTTTAGCAGCATTAAAGAAGATAGTTCTCTGAGGCTACCAAATATGATGGAGGCTTGGAAACAGTTCGGGAGATAAAAATTTGTATGCAAACAATGGATGACTTTTCAAGGCTGTTTGGTAACTTTGTAATGCAAGTGTCATGTGTACAGTGGGATATACATACATGTGACACCAACAGGAATGTGCAGACATTCACACAGAGTGCTTTTAACACCATAAGTCGAGGGAAACCACTTTTTGAACAGACTTGTAACTGTTGGTGTTTACCTTTAGGGATACTGTACTGGGCAGTTTCACTGCAACCAGTGTGTTTGTTGTGCAATAGTTTTATTTCTGCTGTAAGGTAACGTCTTCTTGTGGGAGTATTGTAGAAAATCTTGTGATTTTTCTATTGACCTTTTGGGTGTCTTATAATAACTTAACACTTTTCATTTAGCATAATTTACCCAGTAACAACTGATAGCATTTGCTGTCAGTTGCAGCATTAAACTTCTGAGACTGTGTTGAATTTTTTTTTCTGCCCTTATACAGATGAGTTAGAGGAGTGGTACTTCTTTTTTTTTTGGGGGGGGGAAGGATATTTTTTTGGAGTAGGAAACTAGTAAGGACTGAAGAAAGCTGCCCCTTATTTGCTTTTCTGGGGGTTCATGCTGAACACATAGCCTGCTGGATTATTTTACTAGCCTTAAAGAGATGTTGCATTTATTAAGAGTGTTAATTGCTGACAGATACCCAGGATGTTACCATGAGACACTTGTATAACTACTTACTATTAATTCCCCTTTTTATTCTAGAGCCTGATGACCATCTAACAGTAGCCCAGTCACTAAAGAAGGAATTTGACAACCCTGAAACTGCAGACCTGAAGTTTCTAGTGGATGGAAAATACATTCATGTTCATAAAGTTCTTCTTAAAATTAGGTAAGGCCCAAACTGTATAGTTTAATGTAAACTAAACTGTGTAGTGTAGTCCACTGTGCTGAGTAATGACTGCTCAAAATTCTTGACTTATTCTTACAAACTTCCTTTTTCCTCAGCCATGGGATTCACCTGCTATTCTTCACTGTTCCTCTCTTTTCCTCCTCTCCTCATTGCTTGGAATTACCCAACATGCTGCTTACTACCAGCCTTTTCATCACTTCCCTCCATCTGAAGTGTATCCTCCTTTGTGCTACATAATGGCCTTGACCCTCATTTCTAATGACCTTTTTCTGCTGAGGAAAAGCCTCACTTCCTTCTGCAGCCTTCCCAGCAGTTTGAATCAGCTTTTCCTCCTTTACATGCTTGGCTTCCTCCACTGGGATGATTTGAGGGTTTTGTGTTTATTCTTGCCTTTCTTTCCTCCCACAGCACCCTTCAGTTGTTTTAGCAACTTCTGTAGATGCTCCTCAGATTATCTTTTCTTTCCTTTTTTGTCAGATTTCTTATCTTTCTTGTTTTAAATCATCAGTGAATCTGAATTTTAACAGAACCATATGATCATAGAATGGTTGGAGTTGGAAGGGACCTTTAAGATCACCCAGTTCCATGCCCCCTGCCATGGGCAGGGACACCTTCCACCAGACCAGTTTGCTCAAAGCCCCATCCAGCCTGGCCTTGAACACTGCCAGGGAGGGGGCAGCCACAGCTTCTCTGGGCAACCTGTGCCACTGTCTCACCACCCTCGCAGTAAAGAACTTCCTAATATCTAATCTAAATCTCCCCTCTTGCAGTTTGAAACCATTACCCCTCGTCCTATCACTGCACTCCCTGACCAAGAGTCACTCCCACCTTTCCTGTAGGCCCCCTTTAAGTTCTGGGAGGCCACTATAAGGTCTCCCCAGAGCCTTCTCTTCTCCAGGCTGAACAACCCAAACTCTCTCAGCCTGTCCCCATAGGGGAGGTCCTCCAACCCCCTGATCATCTCCATGGCTCTCCTCTGGACTCGCTCCAACAGGTCCATGTCTTTCTTGTGCTGAGGACTCCAGACCTGGACACAGCACGTCAGGTGGGGTCTCACCAGAGCAGAGCAGAGGGGCAGAATCACCTCCCTTGACCTGCTGGCCACGCTGCTTTTGATGCACCCCAGGATGCGATTGGCTTTCTGGCTGCAAACGCACATGGCCGGCTCATTCAGTTTTTCATCCACCAGCACCCCCAAATTCCTTCTCTGCAGGGCTGCCCACAATTGCCCGGCTCAGATGGCTTCTCTTTTTGATTTTGTAGCCTTTTGCAGGTTAACACCTCTTCACGGTGACATTTGACATATGCAGATCTACAGAGTAATCACATTGTTATTAGCACGCAGGGATTAGTTTGTTACTGCTGACACAGTTTCTACTAGCACGTTCTGGAGACACTGCTTTAGATCGCTTCTGTCTGGCTAAGTGCTTCTGCTCCACCCTTCTCACTGTTACAATAGGTTTTTCTCTTTGCTAGTTTCTTTCTCAAGATGCATCACTGTCTCGTCCTGCTTATCACCACTTTTGTCTTCCTGCTTTTGCTCCTGAGTCTTGTTAGTCATTTCTTGCATATTACTGCATAAAATTAAAGTTCCTTGTTAATTCTTGCCTGCCCTTTTCTTGTTGTTTTTTTTTTTTCTGCTCTCCTGTTACTACTCCAATCAACATGTATTACTATTTTCTTCCCTTTGCTGATTTCATTGCTTGTATATTACACTCGTGCCTACAGTCCATCTTCTTTGTTTGGAATGCCGTGTGTCCTTCATCAGATACACAAGATTTGAAATGGTATCCCTCAAATGTTTCTGAGGTTCTTTTTCCTGAGAATCAGACTATATGCAACTTTTCCTCGTTTCTTTTCTCTTGCTCTACTTCATGGCATTCTGGGAAGGAAATGTGTCTAACAGTAAAATAGATTTAAATGTATGGCATTATCAAAATAATATGCAGGAATAATGAAGCATCAGGCACAGTCTGTAGAGTTAGTATTTTATTTATGTCTTGTAGTCTTATGATACACCTGGATCAAAGCATAATGTATTTAACATGGTATTTTGCAGCATTCAGCCTGTTCCAGAGCATTGTCATGAATGCCGTGCTGGTAAAAGTTCCTTTTCATTGTCCAGTCATTTCTTTACTACTTGTGAAGACTTTTTTCCATCTAGTTCTATACCTACCGTTGAACGAGATCGTACTGGTGGTGGTTAGTAGCTTGCGATGGTGAAAAGGCCAGGCATCGCCCAGCTCGGCGAGAGGCTGGCTGGGCCACACACTGCCTGCAGAAGCAGATACGTATGAGTACGTGGGTGGGATTAGTCTGCGCTGCAGTCAGCCTGCCAAAATCAGGTGTCTGGTCTGTCTCTCCTGAAAGGCACTCCAAAGGGTAAGGAGACTGAAGGATGAGAACCAAGTTATTTTTGTTTCTTTCCTTATTTGCTGTTAAGGGAGCAATGTGCACCACCTTCTGTCTTACTGTTCTGTGGTGCCACTGGGGCAACAGAGCATTCCCAGGGTCAGTTCCACAGCTGGATGGACAGCATGGTCACCATGTGGGAAACAAAGCTCTGGGAAACAAAGCAACGAGGTTTGGTCTGCCTCTTCCAGTGCCAGAATGTGGCACAAGATGTGGGAGAAGCTAGATAGTGACTTTTTAATTCTTTATGAATTTGACTTGATGTTTATTTATTTTATTTTAAAAAAAAAAAATACTAAGGAAAAAAATTCTTTCAATAACCAGTAAAATCAAATGTGAAAAGGGTAAATTAAGTGATAAAATAAGTAATTATTTTTCCTCTCTGTCGAAGTTATACTGTCTTTACAATATAGACTTGTCCCAGCACCATTAAAAAGAAACCAACCTTTTACATTAAAGTTTTACTAAAAGAAAAGCAAATTCAGATGTGGGAGAGTTAGAAAGTAAGTAGTGTAGTATAAAAGATTCCAAATAAATTGTGGCTGTTATAGAAAAAGTTACCTGAGGTGGCAATGTTCATTTCCATTAGCAAAAATTTTGAAAACAATTCAAATGTTACAGGATTTTTTTTTTTAGGGAGCAGTAAGGTACAGTGAGTTGTAAGTTACTGTGAAGTGTAAGTTGCAGAGTATAGCTATCAAAGGCAGTGCTTTTTCCTTGTTAGTCTCTTGTCCATCACAAAAGTATTCAGACTTACAAGAAAAAGGTGATGAAAGATCTGGGTGAGAGTGGTTTTGCTTTAAATATTTTAATCCTTGAGTGTAATGACTAATTCTAGTGCTAAACTGTGTATGGACTCTGACACTGGAATAAATGTTATCTAAAATATTAATAAATACCCTCCTCACTAGGTCATGTTGGAGAAAGCAGGTTGAAATGTGAGAGCTGTCTAACTTAATTGTAAACTTTATCTATTACGAGCCAGGTAATAAAATTCATAGTTAATGTATAACCTATTTAAGAAAATGACATCAAAAACACATGGACCAGCCTTAAAGATATTTTAAGTACTAATGGAGCCTGCTGTAAAATATTAATAACAGAAATAAAGGAAAATTCTGAATTGTATATGTAAGGCTTAAAGAAATGAACGTGTGCAAACCAAGAGATCATGTAGCTGGAGTTGGTGGTTGTGTATTTAGTCTGAGTGATTTATTTCTTTTTTTTACCAAGTTCTTGCTGCAGCTCATCTTTCAAGTTTAACTCTTTACAGTATACAATCTTTGTCCTTATTTTGTAGGTGTGAACATTTTCGTTCCATACTGAATAATGATGATGAAATTATAGAAATGAGTGAATTTTCTTATCCTGTTTACCGAGCCTTCCTGGAATACCTGTATACAGACAACATTAGGCTCCCTCCTGAAGATGCAATAGGTATTTGCCATAAACGGAAATAACTCTAGGTTACTGTTTCTGCGACAATTTGTGTGTCATAACAGTGTGAGGAAAGCAAGGCTTGTTATTTTAGTTTTATTAGTACCTAAGAAGTCGTGAGTTTGGCAGGAAGAAGGGATGCAGTAGCAGGAAGCATGCCCAAGGAGAATGAGCGGTGGGGATGCAATAAGATCAAAGATGCAAAATGTTCAAAAAGAGCTCACTGTTTCTCATATTGAGAATTTTTTTTTTCCTTAAAAAGGCACTAATGCCATCCTAAAACTTTCCTGTTTGAGTAGCTGTGGCCGTTTGATCGTGAATGAAAAGGGAGCTGTTCCCCACATGAATTTAGGAGGGTGTAAGTCACTCATTGATGCCTAGAATGAGCTACAATGCAGTGAACAAGGGGACACAACACTTGCAGAGTAATAAAAGGGTCCCTTTTTGGTAAGTCTTTTGAGGACCTTTAAAAAAGCACACATCATCTAGGGAAAAACGATAGAACAATTCTTTGACTAATTTGTCCTAAAACAATAGCGTAATTGATTAATTTGAGAATAAATTAATGTGTTTTGCGCCAGGGTAGTTAAAGCTGTGTGAATTTTCACAGGACTGCTAGATTTGGCAACACTGTATAGAGAAAACAGATTGAAAAAGCTTTGCCAGCAAACGATCAAACAAGGCATTTGTGAAGAGAATGCCATTGCTCTTCTTTCAGCTGCAGTCAAATATGAAGCTCAGGTAAGGAGAACTTCAGGCTATCAGGTGTTTTCTGAGACATGAAACTTTAATATAAGCATAACTGCATTTAACTGATGAGGCATGATTACTGCAATTTCCCTTTCTGGCTTCCCAGACGTTTGTTTTCCCCTTGTTAAGCTATTAAAAAAAAAAAAAAATATGCAGCTACTGGTGTTTTCTTCCTGGCCTTTTGGCTTGCACCTGTGAATCAGGATTCTTAATCTGCTTCCTGCCGCGTCATCTGGCACGCCATAGCATGCAAATTTCTCACTGCCGTTTACTTCTCCACCTTTGGATTTTGCATTTGTTGCCTGTTCACTTCCCGGGTTCTCCACCTCATCGCCTTGTCTGCCGCTGTCTGGTACAGTCATTCTGGTACCGCCTTTTATAGGCAGTGGGAGAATTTACCTGTAAGGTCCCGCCCTATTTACACTTGTGCTTATATTAAAAAAAAATAAAAAAAGGCAAAAAAGCGCTTTTGCTGTGTTGTTTACAGCGAATCGTGCTGACATACAACAAATTACCTATTGTTAGTCCTCTCCCCATATCCTGTCGTCTGGTCTGCCCTCGGCTCTGGAATGCTTCGCTGGCACACAACCTGTTATCAGCAGTACTGCAAGCACTTTTTTTATAAACAGACAAATACTTTCAAAGATGTTTTCCTTTTCTCAGCTTCTTAGTGCTATGCTGATTGTGGAAATAATGGTGTGGTGGTTTTTGTTATTCAAGCAGCCTGTATATGTGTGTTAGACTTAGTAGCTGTTGCTATAACTGAGCATCTTAGCTGAGCAGTCCTCATCTTTCTATTCGAGAGTTCTGCTTCACAAGAGTAAAATTAATATGGCCAAACAGAAGATTACCTATTAGAAGAGCCAAAATAGGTAGCTGCTAACAATGTTTTTTAAAAATACTTGTTTTTTTGCTTTTGCCTGGCTGTGAAATGTAGGATGAAGATTTAAAGGAGAGGCTAGAAGTGTAACACGATGGATTGCTAAACGGTTGCAGGTACAGGAAGCAAGTAGAAAGAAGGGATTGAAACAAAAACTCAACTAAAAATGTTACAGTAATCTGTGCTGTATGGCAGGAGTGTACCAGATGAGATGAATCTGTGTAGGAGCTGCAGAGAAGAGGCCCGAAGTCAACGAGTTTTGTAAATCGAAAGAGGGGATAAAATCAGATTAGTAGATGATGAGATTATCAGCCGCGGGTTACAAGGCAGCTGTAACCACGGTGTCAGTACCAGAAGGATGAACAGCTGCGGCAAGGAGGACTTGTCCTTGCCGTGTGGCGTGGTGGTAGAAGCCCAGCTTATTGGGGAAGGCTGGACAGCAAGGGAGGACCCAACCGTTTGGTTCTCCTAACAGCAGGACTTTACACTGAAAGTTTGCTCGAGTTCCTCCTCTTGCAAGCTTTTCAACAGTTTTGAACACCTTCAAGGCAGAAGTACCTTTAGCTGACCTGTGTCAGGTGAAGTAGTTAAAGATACATTTAGGTGTATTGTGAAGTAGTAAAATGAGCCTGGGCAAAGTACTGGAGTTTATAATGCCTGAAAGACCATAAAAGGGATTGGCTAGATGACTAAGTGTACATTATCCTCCTCTTCCTTCTATGAGTCAGGGGTTTATTCTGTATAGGTAGCATTCTTTCAAAACATGTAATATTTTAGCACGATCGCCAGACGATGAATTGGTTCACCTGCCGTGGGTGCAGCATGTGCCACACTCAGGAGTGCATCCCTACATCCACAGCTCACAAAGGGATGTAGCAGAACTGCTTCGGAGAAGCGGAGCAGAGAGTTCTGTGCCAAAGACACGGGGTAGTCTCTGTGTAAGGAATCGTGAAGGAAGCCAGGATCTTTTAGCCTACTGCATTAATACGGGAAAAATTGGTTTGAGAACCGCGTGCAGCCTGTTGGCATTTCAGTAAAAAACTGTCCAGAGAACAGTTATGAGAGGGGCCCAATACTTTGGAAGTGTGAAAAGACAGAATTCATTCAATTTTTTATCATTAAATGTGAACACTGCAAATGAATGATTATGGTGCTTGTCATCTGCCATTAACATACTGAATTAACTGAAGGCTGACTTGGCTACTGTATGCATCTGTTAGGATTAAAAATGCTTGAAAATATTTTATCTTACCCTCAGAAAAGAGTTGCTGCTACAAGTTATATTTAAGCATATTTCTGATATACACTGTAGCAAATTTTAGATTAATCATCTTTTATATAACAGAATTAAGCCAGTGTTTCTTGAAACTGCAAAACTAGAGACTAGGCTTCTATGGTATCTATGGTCCTCTAAATAGATCAGAACCAGAAAAGGCAGCTGCTGTTCATTTTATTTAGTGTAAAAGTTCACACACTGACTGTAAAGCAACCCAGGTCCTGGCAGTAGCGTGTCAGAGGTCTGCTGAAACTAAAGCTGTCAGTGTCTTTGGTCTTCTACATTTTAATTTTCTTCTACTTTTTTTTATTTCTTCGTCTATTCTCATTCCTCTTCTTGCTTTTCCAGTACTTTTTGATGAGTGATACAATTTACTTCTGTGCATCATCTTTGCTACCTTATTTCTTCTTAAAGGCTGTTTTGTGCTGCTTGGCCTCTGTTAAAGCTTTAGTTACATCTTGACAGGGGCAGTAGCCTTGAAACGTTCAGTCTAAGGAAAAAGTTTCAAAGGGAAATGCACAGATATTCTGCTAAATTTCTTCCTACTGTTAAGCCCTGGCTGCGATGTTTGTGTGGTTAACATAGCGTAAAACTGGCACGGATTAAGAGACCTCTTTTTGCTGTAACCCTTGAAGAGCTTATAGACCACGGATCATACTGCCAATTTAGACTTCGGTAATTCCTTTTCCTTCAAAGGCAAGTTGTGGTGTAGGAACCAGCTAAAAGGGGATTGACCCAGTGCCTGGAGGAGGAGGAGGATTGCCACTGTGGTGAGGAGTTTGAGTGGGCAAAATTTGCTGTATGAAGTCATGGTTGTGTGGCCTAATGGGGTGTACCGATCCTGCACTGAATGTCCGAACATCCCTGCTACAGCAAGGCCGGGACAAGACAGAACTACTTTTGCTCTCTAGGAATCCCAGTTCCTAGATACGGGGACACAATTGCTGGGCTGACCACAGAGACACGTGTATTCTGACATCCAGTCTGTGCTCAGCAAGCATCATGTTTTGCTTTTATTTTCAGCCAGACCAGGATAGCTGCTGTTTTTCACAGGATCACTCCTGAATTCAGTGCAAGGAGGAAAAGAAAGGGATTACTGATGTTCTAGTGGGGAAAGTTGGTGGTTTCACTTATTAATAACTTTTCTAATGAGCTCAGTAAATGTGGTGGAGTTCTAGAGTCGATTTAGGTGGCTACTCGTTTTTTCTCAGAGGGGGTTTATTGAATAGTTTGTATGAAGAAATTTCATCCTGTCATTTGTGATCTAATCAAACTGATCAGAAAAGGGATTGGTAATGTGAACAACCTTATATATTATATTCTCTGCTAATTAAATGACAGATTTGAAACAGAAAAATAAGGGGTTTGCTATCAGTCATTCATATTACAGATTACCTTAATTTCTTCCTAGGATTTGGAAGAATTTTGCTTCAGATTTTGCATAAACCATTTAACTGTTGTTACACAAACTCAAGGCTTTGCAGAAATGGACCACGACCTCCTGAAAAACTTCATTAGCAAAGCAAGCAGAGTGGGAGCGTTCCGAAATTGAGGTCTGACTACCACCAAGCTGAAGAGCACGTCCTCTTCCCTCCTGAAAATACTTCTCCTTTGGAGAACTTACCCGCGGTCAGAATGTGCAAAGGTTTGGAAAGAAAGACTCGGTGTCTGTCAGCTTAGGAGATGTGTAAGAGTCTGCTAACACAGAGGTTTTGTACAGATGGCTACAGCACAGATGTATGGTGAGAGTTCATTGCCAACAGTCAGAATTTAACAACAAAAATCTAATGCAGTAACTACAGTAACTACCCTTTCCCACTTAACGTCAGGCAAACTAAGCTACCATTATCTTGTCTGTCTGGTTTGAGTTTTTTCTTTCTTTTTTTTTTTTTTTTTTAAACATCCTGCATTTGGATTTTATGGGACAGGGACTTATTTGCTGCTAAAACTTCCATAGTATACTTTTATCGCCAACCTAATAGTGGGCTGCTTTGTGCCCGGGTTATCATCCCGTGACAATACAAACTTGTTTTTCTGAACATGTGACAAAGTAATAGATTCTTTAGCATGAGAGGCTTTCTGATTGGTAGGAGGGTATGTCTCACTTGGTGTTTATTTGGAGAGTAAAATACATAAGCCCTGAAGAGCTTCAGCTGGATATGACAGTTTACAGTTTCTGGCACTTAATCCGTTGTTCTAGACAGAATGAAAAAAAAAAAAAAATCTTCCTTTCCATTACACCCAGCACGTTCCCTGGCACCCCAATGGGCCAGGAAGCATTCACAGCAGTTGTCTCGATGTGAGTTATTGTGCTGTGTGTTTTGGTACTCGGACAACCATCTGGTTGCTTGTTACTAAAAAAAGAAACCCGAACAAAATCTCAAGGAAAGGGAAGTTCCACCTGAGGTTTGTTTATTCCTGTCTTACTATCCCCAGATAGATCATCTTAAGGAAAATGGAGAAAAAGATAGTTTTAAAGTGATAAAAATGGGTCTTTCTTACAATTAAATCCTAAGAGTGAAACTCACGTTATTTTCCATGTGGCAGTAAGGACACCTTGTCCTAACACATTGTTCCAGGTTCCCCTTCAGACAGTGCTGCCAGGTGACCATAACCGCTTACCTTCCGTGCCTGGTTCAGGTGAGAGGAGGTGCCCTCTGGACACGCCTCTCTCCCATCGCTGACCAGTGAGGTGGCTAAGGCAGAGTAGATACTCAATTCCCAGCTGACCAAGGTGAGTCCAGGTGAAACCCCTCCCCGTGTTGCACAGAGGGAGGTTTGCCCCGTTACAGAAGATGCTGAGCGCATGAAGCATTTACTTGAGTTTTCTAATAGGCAACTGTGAATTAACCCTGAGAAATTATTTCTCTTAAAATTTTGACTGGGTGAAGTGGCTTTAAGTGCCTTTTGTAGTATTTTACAAATGGAGAAGGCAAGAAGCTGGATGATGGGGCTCAGTGCACAAGTATGGTCAGTCATGCGACCTTCCTTCAGCTCCTTGCTGTGCCACATAATCCTTCGATGACTTTTCCTGATCCTCAAAGGTGGTTTCTAAGAACCTAATTCCCATAAAAGATCACAGCCTCATTTCCTCATCTCTAAAGCAGAAATAACTGTTCTTTATTATGTTGGAGGATCGTTTCTCAAACAATCCTGTTCCTTGAGGAGGAGGAAAAGGAGAAGCACTTCCTCAGAGAAGAAGATGAGAAGTAGTGAGTAGTGCCTCTCTTCCCCTCAGTCCCTGTGGGGGTGAGCGGAAGGGTGAGGCATGCAGCCAGTAGCATTTACTTAGGGAGAAGGCCATAAGGAAATTATTCTGGAAAATGCTGTGGTAAAATATTACTTGTGTTTGAGGCATTTGCCTCAGACTCTCACTAGAAATACATTGGGTCATCTACTCCTAAGAAGCGTGTTCTGCCACCCCCTCAGGGGTTAGTACAACTTCCTCCAGCAGCCTAAGGCCCTACTTCAGCAGCTGCCTCAGTATTTTGTATTCAAACAGAACTGGGCAAAAACTTTCCAGTCCTTAATGCAGTTTCATCAAAACCACAACTTCCCTGGGGGAAACAATCAGTTTTGATAAGTTTGTGTTGCAAAGCACTTGACTCGGGCACACCGGCAGAGGTTAGTGCAGACAGCGAAACAGCATCACGGTAGGGCACAACTTTTCTGCAAACCCCGTACGCTCCAGCCCGGCACCGATCGTGCCAAAGCACAGACACACGGCGATGCTACGTAAGCCGAGGCTGGGTAATTCCAGGTGTTTTGGTTAAGCCAGGGATGGCTGGAGTGAAGTTTCTGCCCCTTTCAGTTCACCTGCCAGCTATCCAGGTCTCACCTGTTGCTTCTGTTCCTTTACTTAAGAAAGAACCAACCCAAACCTTTAAATGTGAAATGACTGTTTTTAACTCGACATCTGATCGAAAACCCTCTGCTGAATGAGGAGCCTGCCTCCCTGGAGACACCACTCCATGGAGTGACAGCACTGGCGCGTGACACCACTCTCCTAAGCTGGCTCAAATTCGTAACACAGTAGTTCAACAACTATTTTGGCTTAATATAACCAGTAGTGCCATTTTTTTTTTTCCCATGTATTTCCTTCCTGCTAATAATTTCCAACCTTCTGTACACATCAAAGCCTAGTTGCAATTTCACAGTAATTGACGAAGCCTGTGATTCTAAGAAAAAGCATTTCTGGACTGAATGAGGGCAATTCTAAAGCTCCAAGGTGTCAATGTTGGCTTTTATTCATGCAATACGTATCACCTGACCCGGATGCGATAGTATTGCATTCATAGAGACATTTATTTATTTAATTTTTTTGAACTTCCAGTGCACACACTTTCCTTGGCACTTAAAAGGTCAATGTTTAAAAAAAGCACACTGGCGTAGGTGGTTAAATGTGTATAACCATGCACTTGAAACCCGATCATGGAACGTTTTCGAAGAACTTGGGGATGCGTTTGACCGTTGCGCGACGGTATGCAAGAAACATCAAGTGCTGAAATACGCCCGTGCTGTTCCGTTTTAGGACACCACAGACAAAAAGGTATTTGTTAAAAAGTGACAATAAGGTTGGGCATAAACTGCGTCTGGAGTTTAAATTGAGAGGGATGTTCTAGGAAGGGATGCGGGTGGGCAACTTGGTGAATCAAATGGAATTTGAAAGAAAGAGAAGTGACAGGGTAGGGTCATTTTTTAAAGGTTCTCTTAAGCTACGAGCCAGCATTGCATGGTCACCTAGTACCCACCTCTAGAGTTCTGTTATCAATGCCTGGTTAATGGTGTAAACTGCTGGTTTTGTATCGTCTGAACAGTTTCCATGGGCTTTCCTTGTAAAACAAACCATTCATTTCCCCCATAGAGCCAGGACACGTTGGCTACCACCTGGTGATGTAGAAAGTTTACAGCTTGAACATAAAATTATGTTTTGATTTCTTGTTTCTTTATAAACTTGCCTGGTTTTAATAGACCTTAATAAAAATGCCGTAATATTTAAAAAGTATGAGTGGGATTTTTTTTTCCTTTCTGTTCAGTAAAAATGAAGAAAGCCTGACACTTAGTCAGCTGTTTACATGTCGTTAGTAGCGTGGGAAAAAAAAGAAATAAACCAGATGATGATATTTCAGAGAGATACTTTAAAGACTATTTGTGTTCTTCAGGAGATCCTCACCACCAGATAAAGTATTTGTAAGCAGAATAAAAACCGAGTCTGCAAAAAAAAAAAAAAAAAGCAGGAGAATTTGCACAAGTGTATTTCCAAAGAAATTAATGCCTCAGTAAAATAATGATTACTAAAATTGTCCTCAAACCATCAAGAATAGTTTCTGAAGCAAATGTACATTATGACCAGCTTACTTGTGACATTTGAAAGTATTTCACCTTGCACTGTGCACCAGTGTCACACAGGCAGAGTCTTCTCCAGCTGCGTCACCTCTGCCACAGGGATCTTCCTGCAGCCTCTCCGGGACGTGAAAACACACAGTTCACGCATTCTGTGACACGTGAAAAAACCCAGCATTTGGAAACAGGGGCCAGCAGCAAGAAACTAAGGTATAAAACTGCAAAGAAAGAGGCTGGAAGTCAGCTCTTCCATCCCAAGACGGCCACGTAGCCAAGCCAATAGACTAAATTCCCCTTGGCGTCAGTGGAGGGAAACAGGCCTCTCCGAGACGCCCCTGCTTACACGTACAGCTTAGGCAGAGGCAAACTTTCTCCCCAAATGCACAGTTCTGCGCTGTGGTAATGAGAAGGGTTTGGTCAGTGCTGCAGTCCTTACCGGCAGGCACCTGGAACGCCCACCCCATCTTCTGCTCTGAATCCCAATTCTCTTTTTTTTTTTTTTCCTGAAACAGTTTCAATATTCTAGCCTGTTTTGAACACAACAAGGTCTCGCCCTAGGAAAGGTACTCTCAAGCACAGGAGGATTGCCAAATTGGATAAAAAGCCATTTGTTTTCGGTACGCATTTATTTGCATATGCATCTGCTTAAAAACAAGACTCTGAAAATGTGTGTTTTCAGAGGGGGCAGGGACTGCCAGTGCGCTTTGTGCTCTGAGCTCTGCCACGAATGCCGCCGCCGCCGCTATAAATAACTCTGCGAGTTCAGCAGAGTCGTGAGTCACAGGCACCTCTGGACTCTGGCAAAGCAACGTCGGGGAGCTGCGAGGCTGATGTCCCCACTGCCCCGTTCCCAGCCCAGAGTGCCGTGGCGGCCCGGAGTTTGGACATCCTGGGCCCTTCCCAGCAGCTCCGAAAGCAAAAGAATCGATTACGAAAAGCAGGGCAGTGAAGTGCTGGGAACGCTGCCGAGGGCCGTGACAGCGACCCAGCCCACGGTAGGGGCCGGGGCCTGTGCCTGCCGGAACGGTTACCCACGGTGAGCCTGGAGCCACAGGTCTGGCGAGAACAACATCTCCGGAACATCCTACGGAAACTTCTGAAGACAACTCCGAGCCCAACAGCACAGCTATTTGGACCTCTGCACCAAGAGGGAATCCCTGGAGACGGGGTGACCAGCTGCAGCGTGACAGAGCAGGACATCATCACCTA